CTGTTAAAACACAGATTGTTGGTCCCCAGAAATCAGGGTTGGGGTAGCTTGAGAATGTGCATTTTTAACAAGGCTCCTGATGAAGCTGTTGCTGGTGGTATGGGGGCCGCACTTTGAGAACCATTGCCAAAGAGGATCTGGAGACTGACATACCTCAAATTTATGTGAGAAGCTCCACAGAGCAGGCAACATTTGAGGTGGGCCTAGAAAGATAAATAGGGTTTGGGATATCAAATGATGATAGCTGACGGTTATTGAGTGCTTATAATAAGCTGGGTGCTGAGTCTAAATGCTCTACTTGCATTGTTGATTTAATCCTCAGAGATATCAGATGAAGTAGATATGGTTAATGTCCATAGAGGCACTGAGCAAATAGATGACCCAGTGTGCTTTACCAGCTCAAAATAGTGAAGGGACACAGCACAGGAGATGTTCCTGGGGTTTCTCTAAGAGCCCCCAGCTGGAAGTCCCCTTCTTCTGCCCAGATCTCAGCTTCTATTCCAAGCCCCCCAGCAGGAGTTGCCATATGCCCAACCCTCCCCCTCCCCTAGAGTGCAGGGACTGGATATTTGTGGTCTTGGATTTGATTTCCTAGTAGGGCTTAGGACTGGCATTGCTTCCTTATGACACAGCCAAGGAAGGCCATGGGAGGAAGAGGTGCTTGTCCACCTTTCCCTGTGATGTATCCAAGCTCAGGGAGGTCCTTCCTGGCAGGGGAAAGTCTATGTGGAAAAGCACTGACTGGCAAGTGGGGGAACCATGAACCATTCAGTATCACTGGACCATGACAGGGAAGGAGGAACAAGAGCAAAGCTGTAGTAACCCTCAATTCCCAGCATTTCCATGTAGCACTTCAGGGTCTCTTTTTGTGTAACCCTTACCAGAAGGTGTCACAGAGGTGATGAGGACAGTAATGAGCGACTTGGGGGCAGCCAAGGGCCAACCCTACAGGATCCCTGAGCTTTGGAAAGAGGTTAATTATCTTACTTTCAGAACCAGTGGGGGCAGCAGGCTCCAAGAGGGCAGAGGGATTGCCTGATGCTCACCAGAGGCTCCTTTGCAAGATGTGAGGCTTCAAGTTCACTGTCAGGAACACACCCTGGAACAGGAAGTGGGGAGGTTGAGAAGTCAGGGCAGAGGTGACACAGAAGTCAAAATTCCCCAGCCAGATACATCAGATGTTACTGAGAGAACATTAACTCTGGACATGTGGAGACTCATCAGGAATGGTCACAGGATTCTCATGTTGTGCACACAGATCCTAACAGAGAGACCATGCCATTGAGCACATAAAAACACAGGTGCACATGGACAAACTCCAAATCCCAAAAGCCACAGTTGTTAAGGGACCAGGTTGAACTCTTCAAGCCACTCCAGATCATTTCCAGTATCCAGAGTCGGGAATCTGAGCTTCGCCCTCTGCCAGGGCTTTCCTAATTCCAATCCCTTTCTGTGGACTAAAACTTTCCAGGTATCTTCCCTGCTCCCCAGTACACATTTATATATATTGGATATACTCATTGGGTATAAAATCCAGTCTGTGGTGGAGATGAGGGAAAAGGGGAAGAGGGAAGGGGAGCTTCTTTAGGACAAGCACATGCTCCCCCCACTTCCTCCACCCTTCATCCTTCCCTCACACTTCCCTACCTTCTGGAAGAGTCATTGCTTTCTATTTTAAGATCTTCCTATTCTATTCCCCAAATGGTGCTCTCTCCCAGGGGTCTTGTAGGTGCAAAAGGCTCCTACTCTGCCTGCTTCTTTCTACTCTGTCTTGCTACCTCCTATTTCTTGTCATACACTCACACCAACCAAACTCATGAGCTCCAGTTTTCCACTGATTTTCTGAGGAAAGATACTACTTATCACCTGGCCTCAGCTCCTCTTTATGGTTGGTGATGACACATGAAGTCACAGGTTGCTGGTATATGGGGTGGGAGATTTGATTTCATCTTTGGTCTGACTCTTGATCTGAGCATTTTTAAAGAGTATCTCTCAGCATAGAATAATCCCACTCCAGTCTTTCTTTTCTCCTGTTTAACAAAGATATAAGTGGAAAGAACACTAACTAGGGAGCCAGGAAGCCAAGTGTCTAGCCCCAGCTCTGCTCGTGCCTTGCTATGTGGCTTTGGACAAATAACCCAACCTCTTTGGGCATCAGTAGCCTCTTACTGTGGAACATTGAAGCAGCACCCCAGGATTTTAAAAGCTTTTTCCCTTCTGTTCTATCTATGATCTGGTACCAACTTGTTTTTTGTCCTGATTGCCCTGGGGCTCCTGCCCCCTTAGGATGGGTTTCATGAATAGGTAGAGTAATTAGATGGTTGTCTCTGTGACCCTCAAAGCCCTCTCACTGTTCAGGTTGCCCTTTCCCTCCCTCAGGCTCCTGGAATGCAATGGAGGTAGCTCACCTGTCGTATTTTCCTCTGACCAAGGAACGTGATCTGGAGAGTGAAGAGAAGCACAGTATGGAGCTGGGGAGAGGTGAAGGAAGAGTCAGATTTTGGTGAGGTGGAGCCACAAAGGCATTCCACAGTCAAAAATCCTGAGGGAACTTGAAACCTCTCCCATCCAATTCAAGAGACCAAGATTTGCCAAAGGCTAACCAGGTGCCAACTTTGGTACCTGAACCAGGGATGTCATGTATCCAGTGATGACAGTGTGTCATTACCCCCCTTTCCTAAACCATGGCCCACATTGCTAATTTATTACAGATTCCTCCCTACTGAATTAAATTTGGCCTCACAATACCTCAGACAGCCACAGAGATGGCAAATAGGCAAAACCTGTTTAATCACTGTCCAAGACCTTATTGGTTCTGACCCTCAGTCACTTAGTGCAGACCTATCTTCAAATCCACCTTTCCAGGAAGTGCCCTGCTCAGTGGGCACTCTAGGGTGGTAAGGATTTGGCTGGAAGGGGGGCTGTCTGACCCCTGCATTCTGGCCTCCAAAGTCCTAAGTGTCCTGGGTTCCTTATGTCTGACCACATGAGATGGGAAGGAGCTAGGAAGTTTCCCAGACCTCTTCTGGATATCTCACTCACTCATTTAAGATCTGAGCCACTGTTCTTTGGATGCTGCCCCCTTTACCAGGAGAAGTGGCTCTCTTCACTGGGTGCTGCCCAGCTCACAGGGGCCCTTGTGCCTACTGGCACCTGAGTCATGAATGTGGATGAGGCTTGCCTTCTGCTTTCTCACAGGGAGCAGCTGCTGCACTAAAAGCAGTGGGGTTAAATTTGCATGAGCTTTGCATGTAACTGTGGCTTTATTTTTGGAAGAGAGAAGGGCAGGTTGGAATGGGTGGGTAATCATGTTCCTGAGGAGAAATGTCAATCATCGCAAGCTGCCCACTGGGATGGAGGAAGGCTCTGCCACAGCTGAAAGCTGCGACCTGCACACAAAAGGCTGCCAGGCAGAATGGCTTTTGATTCCTCCTGAGCAGTGGGAAGCAGAATTGCTTCCGATTGTTCACCCCAGTGGAATGACTCAGCCTGCCAGTGATTTCTCTTTCACTTTCTGCCTTTTCACAGACCCAAGTGCACTTAACTGAGAGCTGCGTGGGCTTCTGCTCCCAACCCCCGGGGCCACATGCTCCCCCTCAGACCTCAGCCATTCCTCATGCTGCCCACACTCCCCCCACCCTCCTCCTCCTCCATTCTCACCTTTTCATTCACCCGTTTACTCAGAAAATATGTACTGAGCTTGCACATGGAGCCCTCCAGGCAACCAAACTTCGAGGACTTGCAGTCTGAGCTGAGATGATTAACCTGCCCCAGCCCTGGCCCCAGCCCCAGCCCCCAACCCTCATCTAGAGCAGCAAATAGGAGGAGAGGTCAAGAACAGGAATACAAACACTGGAATTCTAGATAAGAAAAGCTGAATCAGTCAGTGTACTAGGGGGAGGAACAGAGGGTCAGGGAGAGAGTCATCTTGAAAGGGGAGTCAATTAACTCTGGGCACATGTCCCATTTAGCCCCAGAGAGACCTCTGCTGGGGAGCTGGCTAGGGGCCCACCCACCAGCCACCCCCAGCCCCCGCCCCCTCCAGCCCCAGCTGGCAGATGCCCCAGAGCTGCTCTCACATCTCTGCAAGCCCCAGCTGCCCTCTTGGAGGCAGAGAGGCAGGTCTGGCTGCTGGACAAGTCCCCATGAATCCAGCCATGCCTGCCACAGGGAGATGGGGTGGGAGTGGGGGGTGGTAATCTTTCCCTAAAGACCTGCTTTTTTTTTTTTTATTTGAATGTAGCTTACACACAATGTTACATTAGTTTTAGGTATAATACAGTGATTTGACAAGTTTATCCATACTCACCACAAGTACAGCTACCATCTGTCACCATATACTGCAATTACAATATCATTGACTATCATTGACTATATTCCTTATGCTGTGCCTTTTATTCCCATGACTTGTTCATTCCATAACTGGAAGCCTGTATCTTCTACTCCCCCATTTTGCCCATCCCCCCTCCCCTCTGGCAACCACCAGTTTGTTCTTTGTATTTATAGGTAAAGACCTGCTCTTTTAACTTCAAGACATGTGAAGCTCTAGTTCTAGCATCTTTCGATACCGACTTATAATTTCACAAGCACTTGGTTTAAATTCATCCCCTGTGTACCATTCTTCTTACTGGGGCCAACCATTATCAAATATGTGATTTCATTTAATCCTGTGAATACCTGCTCTGTGAGTTAGGTATCAGCTATGCTCATCTGACACAAGGAAATAGAGATGCTGGCATGTTAAATCTCATGCTGGATGGCAAAACAGATCCATCAATCTGTGATCCTTTGTTGAGGGCCTAATGCGATAATGCAGATAGAACATACCACTATGTAGGGGGCCTAATTGAATGGTATCTGATGGTTCCTCCTATGGACCCACAACTGTGCAGGCACAGATCCTGTCTTTGGGGACTTTGCTTAAAGGAGCAAAGAAGTCCTAGCAGGTAGGTCCAGAAAGTGAACTGTTTGTGTATCCCAGAGCTGTGGTGAGGCAGAATTAGAACTAGAACTCAGCTTTCCTGACTTCCCACCAAGCATCTTTCCATTATAGGACTCTCCACAAGAACAGCAGTTCTCTGCACTTTGGGGCTATCAACACCAAGCAGACAGAGAAGCAGGAGGGAAGACTGTGAAGACAATGGGTAACCTGACTGCCCAGGCAGTGTCTTCTGCCAGGTATCTGGTGTGTGTGTATGTGTGTGTGTGTAGGGGGGGTGCTGTCTTAGCTCAGGCTGCTCTAACAAAATACCACACACTGGGGGGCTTAACAACGGACATTTATTTCCCACAGTTCTGGAGACTGGAAGTCTAGGATCAAGGCACTGGCAGATTAGGTCTCTGGTGAGAGCTCTCTTTCTGGCTTTCAGATGGCCACCTTCTTATTGTATTCTCACTTGACAGGAAGAGAGAGGGAGAGACAGAATGAGAACAAATGAACAGAGCAAGCTCTCTGGTCTTTTCTTGTGAGGACACCAATCCCACCCTAAGGGCCCTATCCTCATGCTCATCTAAAACTAATTGCTTACCTCCTAATACTATTGGTCACATTGGGGGTTAGAACTTCAACATATAATTTTTATGGGGGACACAAACCTTCAATCTGTAACAGGCAGACAATGCAGTGAGAACCTTTACCTCACTTCCATACAAAAGAAAAAAAATTAAAAAGCACTCATGTGCTGGGGGTAGAGAGAGCTGGTCCGATTCAGCAAACTCCTGCCAGTCCCTCCTGTATTTTCAGTTAAACCAGTGCTGCTTTTTACCCTCTTTTTATTTAGGTGTACCTGTCTTGTCTCTCAACCAGATCCTTAAAAACAGACACTGCCTCATATTTCTGTTCTTGGCCAAAAACTTGGAACAGGACTGGGAAGTGAAGGAGAGGGGAAACTTACTTTGCCCAAGCGGCCAGTTGACTCAAATAAAGTCTAAAAGATGGAAATTTGGATTGAAACCAGATTTGGATTCTAGGTTTGAAGACTTGGCTTCCTATGTCTCTGTTGTGGGATCTCAGTTTAAGTCATATATCCTCCCTGTGCCTCACCTTCCCTTCCACAAGCTCGCTCAGTAAATCCCTGTGCTCCCTGTGAGCTGACTTTATTAAAATCATGTATTGAGCACCTACTGTGTTCTTAGCACTGTGTGGGATACAAAGAAGCTTCAGCCCTTCCTGCCTTCAGGAAGGTTTAAAAGATAATTGGAGAGATAACCGTTCATCCCTGAAAGGTTAAATAATGCAGGAGCCATCACGAGGCCTTGAAGGCTGAGTGCCTAGTGAGCCAAGCACTGAGTAGCAAATGTGGGCCCAGCAGAGAGGCTTCTTGTGGTCTGCAGGTCTTCCCCTAGGGCCACACTAGACAGGCCTGGAAGAGGGCTATATTCTTCCTTTGAGAGGAAGCTACAGTTTCAGTACCAAATCAAGTTCCTTGTGAGGCCTTGCCCCTCTTTTTCTCAGCACCCAACATGTTGCTTGGCATATGGTCCACCTTGAGGGACAATGTAAATGAATAATAGTGTGAAATTCTCCAACTTCCACAGATGGAACTAAACATGAGGATGCATAGGTATGGTTCCCATGGCTAAGACTCAAAATTATCCTAGACTGGTGACATCCCACCAGAAGGAAGGAGGCAGTTGCAAGCAGAGCTCTGGCCCCAGCCCAGCAACCACCAGCCATTCCTGGAGGCAGGTCAGCTCCCCCATCTATGGCTGGGGCCCATGTGGAGCCTACAGTGGCTTCCTCTGCCTTCTCAGTCACTATACCCACTGAGTGATCCTCTCTGAATGGTGCAGCACTGCCAGCCCACAGGATGGAATCCCATTTTTATCAGGCAGCCTTACACACACACACACACACACAAACACAGTCCCTACAGCCCCTCCATACACATGTGGCCCACATAGAGCCCCACCCCCAGACTGGAAAATGGAACCCAATTGGCCCTATTCTATTGGTAAAATGGGAATTTTGAGTCCAGGACTCCTGATGTGACCTGGGCAAGTCCCTTCCTTGCTCTGGGCTTCCATGTAGCCTTTGTGTAGTAAAGGAGTTGGGGTAAAGGATCTCTGAGGTCCTACTATCTCTAGCATTATGAAACTTTGACCATGGAAGATGCTGCCCTCATTGTCCAGACTGCCTCAGAGCAGGGAGGCCCTCCATCACTTGCAACAGGATGATCTCTCTGTTTAGTCAAAACTCCTTTACCCCCTCCCCGCCCCCGCCCCCACTCCATCACAGGGTTGCTGCCTCTTGCCTCCGCTCTGCCAGTGGCACCCTCTTATTAACAACAGCAGTGTGCCACTTCCTCATCCCAGAGGAATATGGTGAAGTGTGATTTGGGGTTTCTGTCCCATTCTTACTGCCCTCTTGTGATGTATTGGCCAATAAGGGTCTCAGATGTCACCTCTCCTAAAAACTAGACATCTAAGACTCAAAGAAAATAAATCCTAGAAAACTTCCCACCCATGTGGAGAAGTAGTGATATACAAGAGTATTTTAGCAACAAAATGGAAACATCTGAGTAGGGAGGAATGAGTGAAATGTAGTAGGATACTACTGCGCAGCAGGTAAAAGAAGGAACATGAACTGGTCCCAAATATATCATGTTGAATAAAATAATCAAGGTTGCAGAATGATACATACATCAGGATACCATTTATGTAAAGTAAAAAAGCAATACCTATACTATTCTTTATGTTAAGAATATTTAATGATTTAAAAAATGTACATACATAATCCACGATAGGGATTCTCCCTGGGGAGAGAGATATGGAGAAAAGGAGAAAGGAAGAAGTAATGGGGATTTTAACTTTGAGATGTTTTATTTCTAAAACAAGTAGCATTTTAACAATTGTCAATTCTGCACAAGTTACTTAGATTATTTTTATAGTATTTCAGTATTTTACAAAGGGATTAAAATTAAAGTTAGTGGATGAAGAAGGCTCTAAGAGCAGCATGTCAGGTACCAGAGCAAGCATTGGTGAGATACCTTGCCTGGAGGGAGCCTGTTCATCACAGTCTAGGTGGCTGCTCCCTCCAATGCCTGCTGCCTTTCACCTTATGGACCCTCTTTGAAGCAGTTCCAAAGTCTGTTCAAGTCTTAGGAAACAGTGTTGCAGGAACCTGGAGTCTGAGCATGGGAGGGTGGGGTGGAGGAGGAGGTGCACTCGGGTGATACAGCAGTTTCTCTGGTTTCACTTCCTTTCCTTGCTCGCATCTCAGGGAGTCATTAGTTAAGTCAGTAATCTAAGACTAAGCTATTTGTTCCTCCCCAAAGTCTCCAGTGAGCACTGGGCTTTGGCATCTTGGTGGGAGGGTGCCAGGCAGAGTGCAGAGATGTCCCACAGCAAGGCAGTGGGTTCCTGCTGGACCTTCCTGCAGGACAACTCCCTGGGCAGTGACTGAGAGGGGAGGAGAGACAGGGGGAGGGGAAGGGGGGAGAGAAGGTGGAGCTGATGGAAAAATAACCCTTCCGGAGGCTGAGCATGCTGATCTTGTGAGCGACCTCTCCAGACTGGGCAAGGGCAGAGGAGACAGTGGGTAAAGATGCTCACTCTTCCTAGGCCAAAAGTCTGGATTCCTGTGGGTAAGGCCATAGCTGCTTTTCCTCAGGGTTTGGGATGGGAGGGTGAGTAATATTCTTTCTCACCTTCCTGAGTCTAGACAGACCCCTTTTCAACTCCATGTCTCCATCTCCACATTCCATAAAAGGGGATCAGAGAGATATGTCGCTCTGGCATGAGCCCTGGTTTCTTTGGGGAAGGAGAGTGCAAACTGGTGTGGGGGAAAAGCAGCTGTGCTGGGAGTAGAAGCAGCTCAAAAGGGAGGGCTTCCCAAGATTCCAAGATTCCAAGATTTCTGGTCCTGTTGTAGCAGCCATACTGAGGGCAGGCAGGGGGTGGGGTCAAGTAGGGGACAGGGAGGACTGGCCTGGTACTGGGGGGGAAGTCTCCTGAATTCCCTGGGGCCAAATTTTGAGAAGTATAGGCTAGGGGATCCTTTTCTACCAGATGTTTTTGGCTGTTCTTTTCTTTTCTTCCCTTCTCTTAAACCTGGAGTCTAATTCTTGTTTGACTCTTTCTGGAAAGTCAGTAGGAGGTCATGCAGGAGAATGTTGCTGTGACATGCTCAGTGAGAGGTTCTATGGCTCCGTTATTTTTCCTCTCTTGTCCTCTTCCCTCTTTCTTTCCCCTTCTTGAACCTCCAGGATCTGCGTGATTGCTTATTTTTTACCCTAAGTACGTACAGTACTTTGGGCCAGTAGGGATTTGTTTCCCAGGAATACAAATGTGCCGCTATGCCTTGTCCTTCCTGAGTACATAGATAGCAAGTCTGGCAGGGGTGGGTGGATGGGAAGACCTAGGGTTTGGGAACTAGGATGGATCATAGCCACATTTTCTGTGATGCTCTCTCCAAGTTGATAAAAGAACAAGTCTAGACACTGAAAGGTAATTAGTTTAGCTTCAAGTGCATCTGGAGATAATCCCAAACTTCAGAACTCTTCTCTGTGTCAAGACCTAGGAAATGGAGAATAGAGATCTGGCGCTATGGGACAGGAATGCACTCAGGGGACCAAAGGCCACCATCCTGCACCCACTCTTCTCCTGCACTCCCTGGCATCATTTGTCTTCCTCCTCCCAATCCTCTAGGGCCTAGCACAGTATTCAGGCATCACGGGTCATCCACATTGCTACTCAGGTGAACCAAGAAGCTTACCTATTCCTAAAACCTTGTTGTCATCTTCCCAAAAGGGAAATGTGACTATGGCTAGAGACCACGGACCCTGACTTCTCCTCCAGGCTTTCTCTTCCCCATCCCTGGAAACTTATTTTGTTATTCACAATGGGAGCCCTAACATCTCTGAGCCTTACCTGCAGTCCCCAGCATTGTGCTGTAGCATGGAGACCCTGGAATTTGGGTCTAGGTTTATGTCCCAGCTTAGCCACTGGCCAGTTAAATGACAAGGGCCACATCATGTAACCTCATGCCTCACTTCCTCATTTTGTTCTAGGAGCTATAGATTTGAAGTCTTTGCTTTCATAGAACTTATATATACTGGTGAAGATGCACACAATAAACAAATTAAAAAATAATATTGTTTCAGGTTAAGCAATTGTTATGAAGGAAATAAACAGGCTGGTATAATAGAGAGTAATGGGGGACTTGGATTTTTTTCAAGGGTAACCATAGGTCACTGCAGAGGTAATATATTTGAATTTAGAACTGAAGGATGAGAAAGATCTGTGTGAAGAGCTAAGGAAAGAGAATTGTCAGCAGAGGTAGCATCAGGTGTGAAAGCTCCTCAGTGGGGAAAGGCTTGGTGTGTTCACCAATAGGGGAGAGATGAGTCTGGCTATCCTTTCAGGTGTGAGCAAGGAAAGAATGGGACGAGATAAGATTGGAGCAATAGATAGAAACCAAGGCCTGCTTATTCTAGGAACAGTTCAAAGCTTTGAAGGATTACCATCAGGGAGCATGACACTTACACTTCAGCTGCTTAAGAAGAACAGACTGGGGAAAGACAAATTTGGAGACCATCTCAAGGATTGCATGAGAGGAGATGGTCCCGGAACAGGAGAGCCATGAACAGATTTATGTAGCATGTCTGACGGATACTATAGTTATACTCCAGCTATGCTGTATGCTTCTTGAGGGTAACACCCTCATCTTGGCCTTCAGTTGATCACACATGCATTTGTAGAACACTAACCATGTGCCCAGCACTGCCCTTGACTTGTTAGTTTGCTTTATCCTCATATTGGTCCTATGAAATAGTTATTTTTTCCAATTTATAAGCAAGGAAACCTCAGAGAGGTTAATTTTGAAATTCATATCTGTGTGAGGCCATAGCCAACTGTCTTATCTCTACAACATTGTATATATAAATGTTCATAAATGTGTACTGGATGGGCAAAAAGTAAGTCACTCATTGCCCAAGTGGTGTAGTGCGCAGAGTGCAGGAGAGGCTTTTGGCTAAAAATAGCTTCCCTACATGGGACAACAGTAGAATTTTTGCTTCTTAGGATCTGAAGGCCCAGTTAAGCAAGAGATGGAAGATATGGGGGTGAAAAACACATTTTGTCATCATCAACTGGTAAATTAGCAGAGGATCTCTGTACTCCTAAGTAACATCATTGGGGATTGGGATGCAGGAAAGTTGCATCCCAATGGAACGGAGAGCACTAGTTCTGGAAGATGAGGTGAGGCATTGAAGATAAATGGGGATGAAGAATGCTGCAGAGAACAACGATAAATACCAAGGAAAATACCTGCCAGTTATGGGGTGCCTACTGTGTAGGCATTTAGTAAACGTACCAGGCCTATTAGCTTATTTTGGTGTCTCATAAACTTCTCTTAACAATCCTATGAGGTAGCATAACTGTGTTTCCTTGATTCTAAGAAACCATCAACTTAATAAAAACTTTTCAAAGAAAGCATACATTGTACTTACACCATGATGTCTTGTTGTGTTGTGCCTCTACTAATGGAATATAGAATGCATTTATTCATAACATAACTACTTTACAGTTCAGGCTAACAATGCAAGTTTGAATCCAAGCCTTCATATTCAGAGTCTGAAGAGTCCTTTCTTCCACTCTGCACATACAGTGCCCTATAACCTGCCTGGGACTTCTTTCACACCTTTAGGATTAACGGTGTAATTTAGAGCAGAATAAAGAATACAAGGTTTCTTCTGCATTTCCTGTTTTATTAAACTCATAGTCCCCCCACCCCCATCATCTATCTTTTAACTAAGAAATACTCCTTCACGAATGAGATCTTGCCATTTGCAACGACGTGGATGGAACTGGAAGGTATTATGTTGGGTGAAATAAGTCAAACAGAGAAAGACATGTATCATATGATCTCACTGATATGAGGAATTCTTAATTGCAGGAAACAAACTGAGGGTTGCTGGAGTGGGGGGTGGGGTGGGAGGGATGGGGTGACTGGGTGATGGACACTGGGGAGGGTATGTGCTCTGGTAAGCGCTGTGAATTGTGCAAGACTGTTGAATTTCAGATCTGTACCTCTGAAACAAATAATGCAATATATGTTAAGGAAAAAAAAAAAGAAGAAGAAGAAGGTAGCGGGAGGGGAAGAATGAAGCGGGGGAAATCGGAGGGGTAGACGAACCATGAGAGACGATGGACTCTGAAAAACAAACAGGGTTCTGGAGGGGAGGGGGGTGGGAGGATGGGTTAGCCTGGTGGTGGGTATTGAGGAGGGCACATTCTGCATGGAGCACTGGGTGTTATGCACAAACAATGAATCATGGAACACTTCATCTAAAACTAATGATGTAATGTATGGGGATTAACATAAGAATAAAAAAAATTAAAAAAAATATGCAGCAGACCGGGAAAAAAAAATAATTTGTATTATGATCCTGCTGTTAGAGATAGTTATCTTTCAACCATCCAAAAAAAAAAAAAAAAGAAAAAAAGAAATACTCCTTCACAATGCATGACAACCACATAGATTTTCCCAGCTTTGAAAGTCATGTGGCCTAAGCTTAGAGATTTGTCCAAATTTGCAAATGTGCTGGTGTTGACATCCCAATGTATTCCTCTGTGTGGTGACTGGCAAGGTTGTTGTTATTCTCAGCATTGGTTATAAAATGCATTCCTATTACTTTTTTTTAAGTTTTTTATTTTAATTCCAGTATAGTTAATGTATAGTAGTGATTCAACACTTTCATACTTACTGGGTGCCCATCACTGACGAGTGGATTCCTTAATCTCCATCATCTATTTCACCCATCCCTGCACCCACCTCCCCTCTGGTAACCATCACTTTGTTCTCTAGTTAAGAGTCTGTTTTGTGGTTTGCCTTTTTCTCTTTTTTCCCCTTTGCTCATTTATTTTGTTTCTTAAATTCTACATATGAGTGAAATCATATGGTATTTGTCTTTCTCTGACTGACTTATTTCACTTAGCATTATACTCTCTAGCTCCATTTATGTTGTTGCAAATGGCAAGATTTCATTCTATCTTATGGCTGAGTAACAGTCCATCATTCATATATATATATATATATTTCACCTCTTCTTTATCCATCCATCCCCCTCGGGCTGCTTCCATAGTTTGGCTATTATAACTAATGCTGCAATCAACATAGGGTACGTGTATCCCTTTGAATTAGTGTTGTTGTATTTTTAGTGTAAATACCCAGTAGTGTGATTCCTGGATTGGACATTCCTATTACTTTTAAAAGCACTTTAAACTTCTCAACATTCGGGGGTACAATTATTTCCCTCTTCTTTCTCTGCGGAATCCTCTCCAGTCAGGCCTTGGTTTCCACCCCTCCAGCCAAACTGCTCTCATCAAGGTCAGTGACAACCTACCTCCACATGGCCTGACCTGTTGACCAACTCTCAGTCAGCAGCAGCAGCACCTGACACCATCCTTACAAAACAGTTTCTTTCTTAGGTCTCCTTTATCAGTCAGAGCCTTCTCAGTTTCTCTTCCTCATTCCTCCTCACCTTCTGACCTCCATGAACCAGTCCTCAGACTTCTCTTATCTTCCCGCCTTCACTTCCGTAGTTATGTCACCTAGTTGCATAGCTGGCTTCTATAATCAACAGCTTTTACATGGAAATCTGCAGCTCTCCACCCATCCTACTGCCTACTCTATAGCACTCCTTGGATGTCTAATAGGCTCTGCAAACTTAATGTCTTAAACCAAACTCCTATTTTCCACCCCCACCTCATCCTAAACTGGTTCTTTTTGTGGTCTTTTGTACCTCAATAAATGGCAACTTATGTCTTCTAGTTGCTTGGATAAAAATATTGAGGTCATCTTGACTCCTCTCTTGCTCTCATTCCCTGCATCCAGTCCTGTAGCAAATCCTATCAGCTGGACTTTAAAATTACATCTAAAATGTAATCCACTGCTACCACCCTGGCCCAGTCGTGTTAGTCACTCGCCTAATGTAACTAGCCCACCACTTCCACCCAGGCCCATCAGCAGCTCCTTTTCCACCCTGCAGCCAGAGTGACCCTCTGCAGCCTACGATCAAGTAATCAACTGCTTAAAGCCATGTAGGGGCTCCTCATCTCAATCAGAGTTAAATCCCAGCCCTATGCCCAACGAGGCTTTATGTTTCCTGGTACCTGCTAGTTTTGACTTCTGCCTGTCCTATTCCCCCCACCCTCATTGCTAACTATTCTCCAGCCAGACTGGTCTCTTGACTGGTCTCACATATGCCAAGCACAGTCCACCACAGGGACTTAGGGCTTTTGTTCTTGGGGCTTCTGAGCTTCTTTTCTCTTGCCCCAGATTTCCACCTGGCTTGCTCACTCATTTTCTTGAGGTTTCTTCAAATGATACCACAACTGAGAGGCCTCCCTTGTGCCACCCATATAAAATAACCACCTCCCAGAATTCTACACTTACTCTGCTTAGTTTTCCCCCATAGCACATATATCACTAAGAATAGTAGATACTGATTTGCTGATGGCCTGTCCACACTACTCTGAGCACAAGTCCCGCAAGTGCAGGGACCGTAGCCGTGTTAGTCACTACAATATCCCGGGACTTAGAGGAGGGCCATCCCAAAGGAGGGTCTCAGTGAATGTTTGTTGAATTAGCAGACAAAGGAAGAATGAACAAAGAGTCCAGTAACAGTCAGGGCTGAGCTTTCGTTAGGAGAAGCATACTTTCTCTACTGCTCAGATCTAGCAGTCTGAACCAACTCCTCTCCAAGTCACCATTGAGGACTGTGCAGTGACTGTCCCTTCTCAGGCTGACTTTTGCCTTCTGTCCCCTTCCAGGTGTTCAGCTCTCCCAGGCTCCTCGAGGCCTCTGCTATGACCACAGTTCCCTCGTGGTACCAGGACTGCCCTTTGCTGCTGCAGCCACACCAGATCCCCATTCTGCCCTGTCTGTCCTTGGCCCCAAGCCAGCATGGGCAGTGTCAGTAGCCTCATCTCTGGCCACAGCTTCCACGGCAAGCACTGCCGGGCTTCACGGTACAAGCTGGGCAAATCCTCCCATCTCAAGAAGCTCAATCGGTATTCAGATGGGCTGCTGAGATTTGGCTTCTCTCAGGACTCAGGCCATGGCAAGTCCAGCTCCAAAATGGGAAAGAGTGAAGACTTCTTCTACATCAAGGTCAGCCAGAAAGCCCGGGGCTCCCACCACCCAGATTACACTGCACTGTCTAGTGGGGACATGGGCGGCCAGCCTGGGGTGGACTTTGGCCCGTCCACCCCACCCAAGCTTATGCCCTTCTCCAATCAGCTAGAAATGGTAAGCAAGGGTCTCTGGTAAGGGTGGGTGGGTCAGAAAACCAATAGAGACAAAATGGGGGTAAAGAGCAGGGAGGCAGGGAGGGGAATGGAGGCGGTGACACTAACATTTAACCCTCCAAGAGGCCAGAACAGTGGTGGTAAGGGCGGAAGTGCTCAGTTACACCACAGAGATCAAAGGCTGGACGAGGGAATTGAAGCACTGGTCAATCCCCTAATCTGGAAGCCTTGGGTGAGCCCTAATCAAAGAGCAAAGGGGAATGAAAGCCTTTCTGAGCTCTACTGGAATGCAACTGGTTGTCAAAGCAGGACCAAGAGCAGCATTTTCAAGTGCATGGCAAGAGGAGGGAGCTCTGTTGTCTCTGTAAGAGCCAACGGAGAGTCCACTTGGAGAGAGCTAGCCGCTTCTTTGCTCGCAGACTCCTGGAGGTGGGCCTTGCCCTCACTCGCTCCTCTGTGGTGCCGCAGCTCCTCACTCAAGCTGGGCCTTGGAAATATCTTTGGCTGCTGTATAAGAGCCAAGTTTGTCATCATCAGGTTAGCAAGGATGAGATTAAAAGAGCCCTACATACTCAGAAATCCAGCCCTTGTGCCACCTCAAGCTTTCATGGGTCCCACCAGCGGACCTGAAAATTTTCCTAGTTAAGCCTTTGCCCCCACCTGGGGGGATGAATCCATGGGTTTGCTATACTCAGAAGAGACCCCCTTAGTTTGCAAAGAGCTTTCAGTTTTTCAAGTTAAAGGGCTTGTAGACTGCCGTGCACTCTCCCAATGAAAATGACAATTTTCAGAAAAGGATTGTTATTTCAAGTGATCCTCCCACCCCTTCAATACTGGTCATAGCCAGTTTTCTTACTCCTGGCCTACTGGAAGGGGCAGTGAAGGTGAAGAAGGGATTGACCTCTACAAGGGCACCATGCTCATCCAGCCTAATTGCTTTACCCTCTACCACCCAGAGACCCAGAGCCAGAGCCGTGGCCCAGGGGTTTCAGCCAGTGAACCTAAAAATGCTGTTTGTCATCTCAGGAGGGTGGGGACAAGCTTATGACAGGTTGGTAGTTTATAAAACAAAATGCCTGAGTCATCCTTAAGGATGGCCATCCCTGGACACAAAGGAATTTCTCCTTCCTGAGAGACACTCACCATATTCAGCTGCTTCATAGCCACAGGCAAGGATGCCTGTGGCTATGACCAAGAAGGATGCTGTGTGGCTGGTACACATACCCAGGCAAGGGAGGGAAGGGTGCGAGGGGACCTGAAGGAAGACATGGGATGGATACGGTTGTTTTCCTCACCAGGGCTCAGAGAAGGGTGCAGCGAGGCCCACAGCGTTCAAGCCGGTGCTGCCGCGGTCAGGAGCCATCCTCCACTCGTCCCCTGAGAGCTCCAGCCACCAGCTGCACCCTGCCCCTCCAGACAGGCCCAAGGAACAGGAGCCAAAGCCCAGCCTGTGCTCTGGGGCGCTGTCTGACTCCGGCCGGAACTCCATGTCCAGCCTGCCCACACACAGCACCAGCAGCAGCTACCAGTTGGACCCGCTGGTTACGCCAGTGGGGCCCACCAGCCGTTTTGGGGGCTCAGCCCACAACATTACCCAGGGCATCATCCTCCAGGACAGCAACATGATGAGCTTGAAGGCTCTGTCTTTCTCTGATGGGGGTAGCAAGCTGGCCCACCCAAGCCAGGTGGACAAGGGTTCCTCATGTGTGCGTTGCCCCATCTCCACAGACGAGTGCACCATCCAGGAGCTTGAGCAGAAGCTGCTGGGGAGAGAAGGAGAGCTGCAAAAGCTGCAGCGCAGCCTGGAGGAGAAGGAGCTGCCCTCCAGCCAGGCCTCCGAAGAGCGGCAGTGGCGCTGCAAGGAGGGGCGGGAGGGCCTGGAGCAGAAGGGCAGCAGCAAGCCGAAGCAAGCCTCCCAGAAGAGCCAGCGCACGCAGCAGGGGCTGCACCTCCAGGTGCTCCAGCTCCAGCAGGAGAAGCGGCAGCTCCGGCAGGAACTTGAGAGCCTCATGAAGGAGCAGAACCTGCTGGAGACCAAGCTTAGGTCCTATGAGAAGGAGAAGACCAGTTTCGCCCCCGCGCTGGAAGAGACCCAGTGGGAGGTGAGGCTTTACCGTGTGGGCTGCGGGGGGTGGGGGTGGGGGGTCAGGTGTTTGATGCCAGTCCCTGTTTCTCCAGGTCCTAGCCCATGGTGTGTGAACACAAATTGCCTAAGCAGAGTGAGCCAAAGTGCCAGCCTTGGGACCCAAAGTAGGGGCTATGATTTGTGTGAGTTTCCTACTCTCTGCTACCCCAGGGCCTCATGGCCTCCAGAACTGAATTTACTAACTGAGTCACTGACTGAGAAGCTGGAACCAGGAGCACGGAGGCCTCATTGGGCAGTCCGAGGGCCGACCCACTTCCTCTTGCGGGAGGCTCAAAGGAAGCACAGGCTGTTCCTGAGCCTGAGTTCACACTGGTTCAAGAGACCACAAGAGAGCAGAGACCTTGTTACTTTTGAGAGAAGGTACCCCACCCACCAGGAAGAGTGACCTCACTTGGGGCAGGTATCACTGACAGAATGGCTCATTCCTCACAGAAGTGTAAGTGGGGCTTTGTTTGGTGGGCTGCAATGGAAACATGAGCAAGAGAAGGGCACACAGCACCTAGAAACGAGGCATCTGGACCTGGCTTTGCTGGAGAGCCTGCTTAGCTTCCACATCCTGCTCTCCAGAAGGTAGCTTTCCTCACCTGAAGGGCCTCTCAAGGTGGTACAGGGGGCGGGGGGCACTGGTAGGGGTGTGGGCATGGTGGCTCTGGCATTCTCCCCAAAGACTCCTACCCTGGAAAGGAACTGAGGAGGCAATGTGTCTGGTCAGACCAGCGCCACCTGCAGGTGCTGGGGACACATTCTCAGCAGCACAGCTTCCTATATGCCCTGCAACTTTCTGTACGTACTCTGGAAATTGGAATGACAAGTGTTATCAGGAGTAGAGGAAAAGGATCCTTTCTATGGCAGAGATGAACAGGGGGACTGGACAGGTGAGAAGGGAAAGTCGCTTGTGTTTGCCAGGTCTCCCAAAGAGGAAAGGATACTGACCGTGGGAGCAGTGCCTGTCCGCTTTCCCATTGGTGTTGGCAAAGCAGACCCCATCCCAGCCATTGTTTTTCAGCCAGGGCTCAGGACACATTGGGGCAACTCAGAGATATAAGCTAGTTCTGGCACTAGGCATCCATCCTTATTTGCCCAACCCCCAACTACGCTGGGCATTGCCGTGACCTCATTCCCAGATTGTCCAGTCAGGCTGTACAGCAAAACAATAAAAAATATATATATATTTAAAATAACACGTAAATATATTACAAACATATTTAGAATGATAATAATTTATCAAGTGTTTATTAAGTGCCAAGCCCTAGGTTCTCCCATTTTATCCTTATAATAACCCTATGAAGTAGGTACTGTTACTAATCCTTAATTTAGTTAAGGAAACTGAGGCACAGAGAGGTTATAGTAGCAAGTTAAATGACTTGCCCATGGTGGGTCACCACATAATAGGTATCAGAGCCAGGATTTGATCTCAACACTTTGGCTCCAGAGTTCAATCATTACTCCATAGTACCACAACACCAACATAGTATATCGCCAGGACCAGCCAATCATATCATATGATCCAGCCAGGACTCAAAGGCAGGCCCATGGCCCAACCATGACTGTATGTTGCTCCCTCCATGAAACAAATACAGGCTTGGTCTTAGAAAGGCATCCTTGGTCCCACACAAGCATTGTGGGTAGAGCTCTGCATTGCTTCATAAGTGGCTCATGAGCACAAGGGGTTGGGGTTTACTACTGTGAGTGAAGTGAGGAGAAATTAAGGTGGCTTCTGGTCTTGATCCAAGAATCCATTCTATAGAGGCCCAGGCCCTGACCTTCATTCTGTCCAGCTTTCCCACAGGCCGGCAGGAGAAAAGTCATTCTTGTGACATGGCCGGCCAGACTGGTCTTGATCTTCTTTTGAGCCACCTATGACCCCAAATGACCAAGACCCCGGAGACCGTGGATCTGAATCAGTGCCTTTGGTTTTGTCTGCTGCTCTTGGCCAACTTTTGAAAAGAAATAAGAATAGAAAGGGTGGAGGGGCGGGGCAGGGGGAGAACATAGTAGCTCTCCATGTGGCAGATCTGAATTTGACACCCTGAGCCAGGTGTGTTGCTTGTCATTGGAGTGCAGCGGTTAATGACTGAAGACAGTCTTTATCCCAGTAGGGAGAGAGGGGAGCTGGGTGTGCACAGGGGTGAGGTCAGAGGATATGGGCACAAACATGAATGATAGAAGTTTGGCAGACACAGAAATCAATATCATTGATTGTTAAGTGTGGATGATGGAGCTATGGGTAGTGGTCACTGATTTACACATAGCCGTGGGTTTGGGTACAGATTGAGATTTAGACTCTGATTTGGGATTGAGGCAGGCATGTGGACGGACCAAGTCAGGCTACAGAATGAAAGGAAGCTCAGAGAGGGGCTCGGCCTTCATGGGTCACCCAGACCGTCATGCTCCTGAGATACCGTGTCAGGACCAGCCTAATTCTTTAGGCACTTAAGATGTTACTTGCCCCGGGTAAGGACCTCTTACATCTTAGCACTTTCTCTTCTCCCCCACCCAACCCTTGGCAGGTGTGCCAGAAGTCAGGTGAAATCTCTCTCCTGAAGCAGCAGCTGAAGGAGTCCCAGACAGAGATCAATGCCAAGGCTAGTGAGATCCTCAGTCTGAAGGCACAGCTGAAGGACACACGGGGCAAACTGGAAGGCATGGAGCTGAAGACTCAAGATTTGGAGAGCGCTTTGCGCAACAAGGGCCTGGAGCTAGAGGTCTGTGAGAATGAGCTACAGCGCAAGAAAAATGAGTCTGAGCTTCTCCGAGAGAAGGTGAACCTGCTGGAGCAGGAGCTGCTGGAGCTGCGGGCCCAGGCTGCCCTGCAGCGGGATGCTGTGTCTCTGGGGCCAGGACTGGGGCCTGGGCCAGGGACTACTTTCTCTGAGGACATCCCCGCCCTGCAGCGGGAGTTGGAGCGGCTGCGTGCAGAGCTGAAGGAGGAGCGGCAAGGCCACGACCAGATGTCGTCAGGCTTCCAGCATGAGCGGCTGGTGTGGAAGGAGGAGAAAGAGAAGGTGATCCAGTACCAGAAGCAGTTACAGCAGAGCTACCTAGCCATGTACCAGCGGAACCAGCGCCTGGAGAAGGCTCTGCAGCAACTGGCCCGTGGGGACAGTGCAGGGGAGCCCTTTGAAATTGACCTTGAAGGGGCCGACATCCCTTATGAGGACATCATAGCCACTGAGATCTGAGGGGCCTACCGGGAGAGGGAGAGCCAGGGATCTGGCATCAGGAGGCAGGGGTACAGAGCCTGTCACGGAGGGCTCCTCTCCCCACTCCCCTGCTCAGTAACTCAGGCCTCTGTGAGAGGCCTTCCCCAAGGCACAGACTGGGATTCTCCAGGGGAGGGGGGGGAGGAAGGACTGCTACATAACCTTTGCAGCCCTTGCCCACATTCCAGCATTTACCATCCCTGCAGCCCACCAGACCTCTAGCTTTCCTAAGAGATGGGTTCAGGGATCTCCATCATTTGGTTAAGAGGTCTCTAAACCTTGCCTTTTGTTCAAAAATACTTAGACCCTCTCCCAGGGATGGTGGTAACTGCTGTATTGGCCGATGGCCACCCCAGGACAGAAGCTCCCTTTTGCCTCTTCGCACAACTGCTTTTTTTGCCCCTGGACACATTGGGATGGCTTGAGAGTAGAAAGAAGCCATCTGTGATCATAAACCTTAGAACCTGACCCGGTCATAACCTGAGCTGTTTTTCTCTGGCCTCAGAGTTGTGGGGGTTGGATTTTGGTATGGAGAACCTGGCTTAGCAACATCAGAGCTGTCCCAATCCTAGAAAGCCACAAAAAGGAGGGGAAATCTGGGGCAGCCCAGGAATATCTAGACTCAGCAAAGCCCAGAGGGGGTCAGAGGGAGAAGCCAGGTAGTAATGGCCAGACCCTGCTGGGGGCCCTGCTAACTGAAGGTAAGCAGCCTTTGGACAGCTGGTAGCCATTGAGCTCAGTGACCACTCTTCTTAAAGCCATAGACACTGAGGTCCTGGGGAGGGGAAGATTGTGACACAGGGAAGCTGTGGTTTTCCAAATTTCCCTGGGAGAGCCTCCAGATCTTTCCTCATGGGGCTAGAGGTAGGGGTGCCCCCACGTGATTTAAATTGGCCAGTGGCTACTCTGAACTTGCTTTCTTCTCAAGAATCCAGCCTTTGCTGGATCCAGAATAACCTATATATGACGAAAATGGCGCAGGGATGATCTGACATTTCCCTCCTTTGCCTGTGGCTCAGTTGAGTGGCACACACTTTCCCCTTTGCATTTCCAGTGCTAAATTCAGACAAGACTCCTTACAGGTCAGGAACAGTCCCAGAGTTTGGTGGGCCAGGGTCCCAGGCAGGGAGAAGAGACACAAATACAGCCTAATGAACAGCCCCAGGGCCACTGGCTAGCTTCCCTCCACCTGGGCCCCACAGGAGCCCCCAGTTGTAGAGAATCCAGAAAGCTTCAGTTTGCTAGGGGCTGGGCCAGTGCCTGGGGGAGGCTGGTGTTTCTCGTCTGAAGATGTGCAGAGCTGGGGGAGGAGAGAATGGTGGGGTTTCTTACTTAGTTGCTTGGTTCAGAGGGACAAAAAAAAAAATTTTTTTTTTTTTTTAAGTCTTCTTTCTTTTTTTCTTTCTTGTCTTTTCAGAAGCAAGCCAGATCTAGCAGGCAGCCAGAACTGTTCCAGGTTCTATTTTTGACTCAAGCTACAGCTGTTGTTCTTTCTTAGGACAGCCAAGCCTTGCTAGATTCCTGAGCTTCATGCCTGCTTGCTGAGAGGGGTTCACTGAGGTAGGAGAGATGAGAGAGTCTGGGTATTTAGCAGTCTGAGACCAAACCCCCTGGTTCTGCCTCCCTGACCACAGTCCTTACAGGACCCAGAGTGGGAGTGGGAGCTGCTTCTTGTCACCTCCCCCCACCCCCCCTTCAGAGCCACCGCATTCTTTCCCTGAGTCGGCTGAGAGCAGGGCCATCTTCCCTGCATTTGGCTCTGCCTTCTGGTCCCTGGGGTTAAGCTGTGCCCATGACAGAGGAGCTTTTCTGGAATTTCAAGCCACTGGTCTTAGTCATAGGGCAGATTTAAACCTGAAATGGATAGGCTAAACGCCCCCTTCCTGCCTGGAGGGCAATGCCCTCCACTGGGCACAGTGCAGGCCCTCAAGTCAAAAATGTCCCATTCCCTCTGCCACACTGTTAGAGGGTGGGAGAGGGATGGTAAAATATCTTTCAACTGAGAAGGCACTTTGAGACCAGAAAACAAAGCGGGTGACTCCATCCAGTTTACAGAGTTTTATTCAGGGTAACTTACTGACAGGGAGAATCGGGTGGAGGATGATCCAGGCGCTGCATGCAGTTATTCTCCACAAAGTCTGGACCTTCATCCACAGATTCTATAAAGCGAGGGGACACACAGGAGGGCATTACAGTGAGATTCAAGGGTTTGCACGCACCTAATGGACAGCTAACCTTTAATTAGATCTGCAGCACCGCCTGTGCCTCAGGAAAGACTATGTTCTCTTTAGCAGATTCATGGGAGGCCTAACAGCCTCCCCCAATCCCAGCCTCCGAAGGCATTTCTAAGGTATGTATGTTAACCTCCCAGGGGCCCAGAACACAGCCCCAAGAGAGGTCATCAAGCAACACGAGCAAGATGGAGGGCCCACGATGGAGTCCGTCCTGCCAACTGTCAGCACTGCTACGCACAGCGCTCAGCCTGGGCCTTGTTTGAGTTCCTTTCCCCAGTGAGACCGCCATGAGATAGAGGGGCTGCTGCTCCCCACCCAGGCTGGAGATACCCCACTGCTCTCCACCCCCAGAGAGCAGCCAAAGCCCTGTGACCTTGCTGAGAAGAGATGGGTGCTAAGCCCAGGGGAGGACACTCAGGGGCAAGGTCTGTGCTCCACCATGGTGTGACCATACCAAGCACTCTGCATCCCTGCCTAAGGCCAACCCGTGAATGCCCACCCCCCCCACCAGCTGAAGGCCCCAGGGTGGCCCACAGTGGCACCAGAGCGCAACAGTGTCCTGTAACATAGTGATCTTACCGCCATGTGGTTTTTCTTCCCTTCCCTATGGAAAAACATCCTTACTATTCCCGGACCATGCCAAACCCAGCCTCTCCAGAAGGAGCCTCTGAACAACAGAGACTGAGCAGGGACTGGGAAGTCAGATGACAGGGGCTTCAGAGCAGACGGCCTGGCCCAGGGCCAGCCAGCATGAGCTCGCTGCCCTTCGCTCTGTATACTCCTGCCGGCATGCTTGCTCATTCAGTGAGATCGACCTGCTCTGCTCTTCCAAAGGATGCCCGGCCTGAAAACGCTCTGCCTGCCTGCAAAGAGAGAGCAGCACCCAGTACCACCTCGCCAAGAAGGGCACTCTGCCTCCAGGCCTTGCAATGACCAGAGTCTCTCAGGGCTCCCCCTGGGGCATGTCTTCTGGCTGCTGGGTCATTCAGGTAACTGCTGCTGGGTGCACTCTGGCCCCCATAGGCACTGAGCTCTACAGGGCCTGCGGAGGGTTAGCTCTCCTCTAAGAAACACTTGCTGACCCTCTGCTCCTTGCCCTACTCTTGTCCCGGCCCAGCCTGGGCCATCTCTTGCTGATGGAGCAGCAGCTTTGGGAGAGGGCTTTCCCTATGGGTCCTGAGTTCTCCTAAACCAGAGCTGCCATGGCAGGAGGCTGTGCACCCTGTCCAGTGGGCGCTTCTTGCGTGGTCCATCTTGTGCTGAGTCTGCAGGCAAAGCTGGAACCTCCAGCCAAGGCTGGCTTTGGATAGACTGGCATTTGGAAGAATATGTACATAGTTATTTTTCTCTGGGTTGTTTCTTGTTTTGTTTGTTTTGTTTTGTTTTGTTTTGTTTGAGTTGCTTTTGACAGCTTCATTTTATTTTTGATGCCCCTTCTTGGCCATGTAAACTATCTCTGATAATTTTATGTTTCTATTTATGAATAAAGAATGCCATTTCTCATGCCCTCCAGAGCTACTTTTGTCTCCTCAAGCTACCCTGCTTCTCCAGGCTATGGTATGGCAGCTCCTTGGGGCGCCTCCATCTGGAACAGGAAAGGTGATGTCTCTCCCTGCCAGTGAAGGAAATGCAGACAGCCTTGATGAAGGCAGTGTTGGCCAGGGGGAAAGCATGGGCCTTGGCATCAGGTAGACTTCCAGGCAGTCTGTACCACTCTCCAACCCTGTAGTTTTATCTGTGAAAGGACCCTGAATTGACCCCGAGGAATGAGAAAAGGAGACGAAGGGACATGGTTGTCTGTAACGCACAGGGTCCTCTCCAAAAGAGAACTCCTTCCCAAGCCCCAAACTTAGGCCTCCCCTCCCTCACTGTCTAGCTGCTCACCTCACCAGCCAATTCCTTGACCCATTGACTCCAGCCTCTTTGGCAGGAGACCTGAATGACTATTGTTGCCACTACCTCTGGGCCTCCCCTCTGGGAAGGTGTGGTCACCACGGTGGCCATCTCTCCAGGCTTCTCCATGCCAACCTGCCTTGTTCACCTGGACAAGCATTCCCAACTGCTCTGGGCTCAAATCCTACACTCAAAGGGCTTCTACTCAGGTGGCAGGAGACAGAAGGGACATGTACAAAGGAAACGGAACATATGACGGATAAATGGCAATGCCTCTGAGGTGGGACAAATCAGGGTCTCTAGGGAAGGTGGCAGGCAGGAACGGGTCTGCGGGACCAGTATGGGACAGAAGAGGAGTGAGCAGAAAGGGAAAGACAGGATGGACATCCCAGGACAGGCATTCCCACCAACCTGGGGCTTCCTGCCTGTCTATGCAGGTGACAGGAGCAGCACTGGAGGTTGGAGAGGCAGGAGGCCAGGGTGCGGTGGACCTCCAAACTCAAGGAGGGCCAGGCAGCTGAGAAGTGAGCAAGCCAGGACAGGAGCCTGCATCTGTCTAATCCCAAGGCCCAGCACTCTGACAAATGGGTCGTATCAGCCCTGGAGTAACCCTTCTTGTTCTTTGTCCTGAGCTGGCTCATGGCGGGGAGGCTGTTGCATTGGTGACACCCACTGAAATAGGCCTCCCACTAATCACACCCCGCTTTGGCCCCCTCCCCTTTAGTTCTGGTGGGCCCTAGGACTCACATTCACCAATTGAAGTCAGTAGAAGTGAGGCTCCACCAGTTCCAGCCCAAGCTTAGAAGGCAGCCTAAGCTTGGGAGCTTCCAATTTTATATTCCTGGGGGCCCTGCGCTGCCATGTACAAAGCCCCTCTAGTCTGCTGGAGAGACCTCATGGAGCAGGAGGGCTCCTATTGCCCCCGCTAGGCTCCAGCTAAGTGGAGCTGATCCATCAGACCCCATGGAGCAGGGATTTGCTTCCTCCACTCTGCCCTTTCACAATCCTGACCTCAGAACCATGAGCACATTAAATGCCAGTGTTTTTAAGCCACTAAATTCAAGGTGATTTCTTATGTGGCATAGAAATAGATAACCAAACACTCTCTGGTGACCCCCCTTACTTGCCACTTCAACAAGACTCTGTCTATTGGGCTAGGAGTAATAGAAACGGCTCCTGGGAAGGGATGGGGCAATGGAAAAGACTGCTTTAGTGGCAGGAAGGGCAGCAAAGTAGGGAGCAAAGCCTTCTCCCTGCCCATCTTCCCCTGGAGTGCTGTTGAGGACACAAGCCTTTCTTAAGCCCCCAAACCTACTTACTATTTTAGAAAAAAAAAAAGATCAAAAGGGAAATGAGAGTGGGAGAGAGAGAAAAAGAAAAAGGGAGAGAGGGGCTCCTCCTCCCCTGAGACTAAGCAGCTGAGCTTCAGCCTGGCCAGCACTGGGAGCAGTCCCAGGGTTCTCATGGAGCCATGAATAGAGTATGCACACTGGTGCCTGTGAGGGGTGGGGGGAGG